ACCACAAGATTTGTGTGGGGCATAATTATTTTCTCAAAAGTTCCTCTATCATTGTATATATAATATACATTTTCCTATATTTCCTATATTGTTACAATTTCTGAATTTTGTTTCTATTAGATATGAGTGCTCAAAATGGAAACCCCAAATCTAGACTTGCACACACAATGCTTATGTGCATTATCCACGTGAAGGAAGAGGTGTAATTTTAGATGACATTGAAGTATTTTCTAATAAGATTTCAAAAAACAATTAATAAGAAGTATTCGAATTTCTAAGTGTCAGACATTATTATTGCGTCTTTAATGTACTAACACATACCAAAAACCAGAAACACAAGTGTCCACATTGAGTGAGGATAGCTATGTAATCAATTTAACAGCATGAAAAATATTTTATATAGAAGCCAAATATTCTAAAATCTTTAAAATAATTGGGTCTCTTAGATTACTTAGCTTGCTCTTGATTGGGTTTCTTAGATTAATTGAAGCATGCACTTGCTTGGACTTCAAACTAAATTTTCCAAAATTTATAACATCCGAAATGGAGGTATCATTCAGTAATGCATTCTTTGCTTGACTTTTGTAAGTGATTCTTTTTATTTTACTTTTTTAAATACAAAAAGTATGCAATGCAACCGTTTGCCTTTAATACCTTTAATACAAGATCGCACAATCAATTTTCACCATTGGATATGAAATCAAACAACTTGAGGTATAACATTGACGGGGCTTAATTTTAGAAAAAAAATTCAATTTTTATAATAAAACTGTTCGACTTAAGATAAATAGCTAAAAGTGATTCTGACTTTTTTTTTTCCCAAAGGAAAATGGTCAAGCAGTATAAAATCCCTTTTAAATATAGGTGCTTTTTCACATTTTACAATCCCGTAAAAGCCCCACATTGCTTCATGCTGTGGTAAAATCTCTCTCTCTCTAGTTTTTTGTATTAAATGGAAAGCTCAATCATTCTTAATTTAATGTAGAATTAGGAGTAAGGCCAATGTAGTGAAAGGTCCCTTTATTTAGCCACCCTCAAAGACAAAAAGATATTCAACTAGTTTTGGGACAGCATAAAACATTGTCGCATTTTTTGGGGGCATGAATAGGACCTTATGCTCAAACATACAAATAAATAAATAAATAAAATAAAATCTTTTTTTTATTTTTCTTTTCCAGTTTTGGCTGTTTTCTTATGCTTTCTTCCTCTTTTTCCCCATATATTTTGTTATTGACTTATTTTCCCATTATAAAAGAATATCACAGACAACCAATAATAGTAGATTCAAAATGCATGCGTTGTGGGGGGAGAACCCCATTTTTAGGATGTTCATTTTAATGGAGGATCAACTTAGGTTTCCCTAATGTACGCCATAGATTCAAGAAAGGCATTTTCCTAGAGATAATCTTGACCGTCCATCGTAAGCATAGCTCCTCCACGTTCACATAGAATACATGGTAAGGAAGAGTTCTTTATTCCTTTGGTGATTATAAAAAATATCCTTTTTTTTCCTAAAATTCGAAAAATATACAAATTCTTTAAAATCTACATAAACATCTATTTTATCACAATTTATTTTTAACCTAAAATGCCCTTGAGTCATCATAGACCTAATAAGCCCGTGATGTTACAAGGCTGGTCTCTATAGTAGGACCGTGATGGCCGATCGTGTGATCAAAGAGTCATCACAGTCCTATTAGGATGATGATAGTCCTTTTAGGATTGTGGGACTCAAAAGACCAGCCTTTCACGAGCATGAAAGGTCCTCGGACCGTCACGAACTTATTAGGTTTATAATGACTCTTCACAGCCCTATCAAATCGCTAAAGAGCATTTCGTTAAAAAAAATAAACAGTGGGAAAATAGGGGTCGGCATATGTTTTAAAGAATTTGGGTATTTTTCAAGTTTGTAAAAAAAAAGTGGGATTCTTCTTATAATTGAGTTTATATTTTTTATAAGTTTGGTAGTCTTTACCTATCCCAAAGGTTTTAAGAACCAAAGGGGGAGATTTGTTGCATAAAGGCTTTGCATCCAAAGCTAATCCGAACCGTGCATAGTAGTGAGTCCAGGTTAGCGTTGGATCGCCATGCCTTTCATAATTTCACGGTGATTATTTAGTTATTCACTTAGTTTTCACCATGGTTATCATTTAGTATATGTTCGGCATTTTTGCTTTCCATCATGGTGGCCATCATCATCATGGTCTGGGTAAAGCTCGAGCTTTGACTCACTAGGTCTGGGCCAGGTCCCTGTCCAACTCGTACAAGTTAGAATTGGACTAGGGAATTTTTTAAAAGAAAAATTTTTAAACATAACAGGACTGACAGGGACTCGCCTAAGCCAAGCCATATGTGCCTGGATCACTTGGACTCCCATTCTTTCCCCAATTTTAAACTTTCAAATTATTCTTATTAAAATTTTCCAGTTTTACTCAGAATTGTCCGAGTTAGATAGAAGGTTCTAAGACAACAACTCATAAGCAAGCCCAAACTTTTAAAAGCTAGAGGAAAATAAATTTATAAGGAGACTTGGGCAATTCTAGGTTTGTTTACAACTAGAGTTGTCTGGATCCAAGTTTGGTCTGAGTTGACCATGTCAGACTGGACGGCCTATTTTTTCCGACCCTGGGTGTATTTTTTAGAGGAAGTATTCTCTATGTTAAATCAATCATATCCTATTGTTGAATTTAATTGTCATTCATGGCATCATGGTCATCATCATCAACAATATTTTTGAATAGAGGTCTAATTAAAAGTTGATGCATCCAGATTTGGTGAAAGGAATTAGGAAGCATGAGTATGTCATGCTAAGTGGAAGAAGCAAATAGAAAATGAAGTTCATGAAACTTGGAACAAGGCCAGATACCTTTTTCACAGTAAGTGCCATAAGGTAAGCAGTTTTAACTTTTAAGAGTAAATTTGCATGCTTATTAATGGTTGTTCTTGATGCAAAGGATAAAAAGCAACAGATTTATCATTTAAAAATAAAGGGAAATTTATCAAAATACCTATAACATTATTATCATGAGTCCTTTTATGGCATTTTGAAAGTAAAATCAAACAATATAGGTACAGTATTAAATAGTTCATCTCATATGAGTATTTTGACAATTTTTCCTCAAATAAAAGAAAATTTTAAAGTTACAATGATCATCTTTAATGTATCTAGATTGCTTTTTTACACGTCTTTTAAAATAAGGCATAGAGAGAAGTAGGATCAGGAACGCTTGTGATCCTCCATGATTATTTAAATTATAGTTTTCAAATCTAAACCATTTTCATTAAGAAACACTTTCGTCAATGCGGACTCTTGGTAAGACTATTTTAGGATATTGTAACATTCTTATTTATTATTTTAATTTTATTGTACTCATTATTAATCTTTTCTTTCGAGTTCAAGATTTTATTTCTTATTAAATTATGTCTTCTAATTTAGTTGACTCCAAATAGTTGGGATAAGGCTCAAATGATAATGATGATGTATGTCTCCAAATTTCATGCAGATCCATCTCATCAGAGGAGCCCACCGATCTCATCATACAAATAAAAAACACAAAATATCTTTTACACAAGGTGATTTTTCTGTGCTACCTTTTTGTTATTCTTTCTTTTATTTGGCTTTATAATTTCTAATTTGTCTCTATCATACACAATAATACTTCTCACATAGAAAATAGAGATCCTATCAAATTTGATAAAATGGTTTCCTTAAATACACAAAATCAGTAACCACTCAAATTTTATCAATACTAAAATTAATGATCATCATTTGAGCCCTATTCCAGCTATTTAGGGTTGGCTACATAAATCATGTTCCTGCCATTCCACTCTATCAAGGGTCATACCCTTAATTTGACCAAATAATCATATCTTTTCTTACTACTTCCATCCATATCATTAATATTAAAATTATGAGGAAAAAAAATTAAGAGAAAAAATAATACCACAAATTATTCTACAAAAATCGAATGAAAAAAGAGTGCTTCCAAAACTATATCTGGTTGCTCAAATTAATTTATAATTCTCTACCTTTTTTTACTCTTTTTGGAGGCCAGCTTAATTTAGTCCAGGGGAAGGGGGTTGTTAGGGGAAGACGAGGAGATATACAATTATTATAATGTCATTACAATGAACGCAGCATGTTTCATATCTTAAATTAGGTGTTAAACACACATGGGATAACTAAAATCTTGTTTTAATTTTAAAATAAAAAAAAAACATGAAAGGGAATCTATCAAATGCATGTAAGAAATGAACTATTCAATATACTACTCCTTTTGGTTTAATTTCAAAAAGTACATCAAAATACATATGATCATGATTGGAACAAAAATGGATAAAATGTTGAATAGCTTATCAATTAGGTATAATTTAATTTGATAATTGTCAAAAAAAATAAAAGGTATAATTTGATAAATTTCCCAAAATAGAAAAACGGGATAACCTCTTTGTGGTGACACAAATTCAGTTTGCAGAGGTATTAGTGTATAATTAGTTCACATGTTTCCACATTTTGAATGACCCATTTTTTTATGTAGACATGCATATACATTCATTTAGATGTATGGGTATGAATTTGCATGCATGCGTCATGAATGTCTTCATGCAATATAGGAGTTTTTTTAGTGAAATTTATTAACATACCCATGAGAGATGCACTATTTAACATTTTACTCATTTGTCACTGTTCCAACTCATCATCATATGTGTTTGAATAAGTATTTTGAAATTAAATCAAGCTATATGGATAAAAACTTAAATAGTTAATCTTTAATGAGTATTTTGATAAGTTCCCTTTTGTTTTTTAATCAATGTGATTGGATGTATGCATTGGAATATATCTTGGTTGTCAATTTAGTCTCTAAAAATGGATTTATATTTAAGTGAATGCTAATAAAATCACAAACTAGGTTGGACCAAGTCTTTAATTCTAATATTTGTAGAATCCTAATTTGAAAAGGCCTGAGAGCATATATTGAGATTATTTGATTTGGTTATTGGGGTATCATATCATGTAATCATATGTGAATTGGTAACCTTTACGTCGTGAGAGGGTTATAGGGTTGTAAAGATATGATCTAGGGTTGTAAAGATATGATCTGTATTTCCTCCATTCTAATTAATGAAAACAGGCAGGGGCTTGTCGCCTTCTCCCCACTGACTTACCCAGAATATTAGTCACCTTGGCTTGGTGATGAAGGTGTGGACAAATGTAACACAACATCACAGGTTCAACACCTACCATTAAAGAGTTTAGCTGGAGAAGGGGGCTAGAAGGTTTCTTTAATTTATATATTTTTATTCATGAAAAAAATATTATTCCTCGGCAGTGACATAAGTCTATCTTGGTTTTCATGGATTTTGGATATGAATTACATCTTAATTTTTAAATCATTTAAAATGCATTTTAGCTTAGGCTCATGCATTTGCATCTATAAAAATCGACCAAATATCGTGGTCGATAAATAATTAAAATATAAAGTCCGAATAAGGTATAAAATAGTCTTTTTTTTGAAGTTTAGAATTCTTTTTTTCTTTTCAAGCTTCACGAGTGTGATGATCGAACTTACTGATCTGTGAAATTATGGATCCGAAAAGCAAGCACATTTGAACCGGCGCGTTGGCTGACTAGCCAGAACTCTACCCTTGTTTCTGTACCACCACGACCATCACCGAACCGGCGTGTGGGCTGACTCACCAGATTTCTACGCTTGTGTTAGTACCACCACCACAATAAGCAGACATGGTGAAAAACAAGTAGATGGCCCCTTTATGCGATGTACCACGCCCACTTCTTTCTCCCATCTTGGGAAAGGGTTCAACATGGATTTCCATGACCTCTAGGGCATGTTTGATGTATGAACTTCTGGGGAGCAGGAGACCTGAGTTCCACCAAATCTCCCTTCCACATTTGAATATAGTCTGCTTGAAGCTGCAAAATGGAACTCACAGCTTCCGACGGGGTGTGAAACAACATTTTCTTGATGTTGCTTCATAGAAGCCGCCCCCTCTCATGTTTGGTGAACTCAGGTCTTCATGGAACACCTGAGTTCCACCAAATCTCCCTTCCACATTTGAATATAGTATGATGGAAGCTGCAAAATGGAAGTCACAGCTTCCGACGGGGTGTGAAACAACATTTCTTGATGTTGCTTCATGGAAGCCGCTCCCTCTCATGTTTGGTGGACGCAAATCCCTTTTCCACCAATCAAACATGCCTTTAGACATTTCATCAAATACCTCTACAACAAATACAAATGACCAACATTAATCATCTATATAATTATTTAATTTGTAATTTTAGGTGATTTATATGAAAAGAAAACGCCCTAGAAGCAATAAAATAGCCTTGATTCTCGCTAACCAGCTTTAACCCTAAATTCATTTTTGTCTTTAGGATAAAATAACTCTCTTTCTTCTGCCATTTGTCTATGGGATTGTCTATAAAGAGACCATTTTATCGTTTGTACATCGAGGCCACAATCATTCTCACTCATTAGATGCTAAATTGGATTGTTTGGGGTGATTCACGAAGTCCCGAAAAAAAAAAAAATTGGAACTACGTCTATTCAATGACACTTTGACAACCACCCATTTTGAATTTTGAGGGACAAGAATGATTGTGACCTCTATACACAAAAGATGAATGATTTCTTTGTAGATAATCTATTAATCTAAAACCTTGAAATTAGCAGCATCTTACTTAAATGTGGGGGTTTTAGCATTTTACTTAAATATGGGGTTTTATTTTTAGAATTGCGTTCATGAATAATGATGCGCTGAGCTGGTATGTCACTTATAGGGGAAGCTTAATTGCTATCCGGGAAATATTCAACATGAGCATACATTATGCAATGCATGTGTCTCCTGCTAGATACTATTGATCGTCCATATTGTGAATCTACAGCTACCCATGCTCTCGAAATGCAGCCTCCTGCAACTGCTTTACCAGGAATCACAGCCGGAAGACATTCAGCTTCCTCATTTCCCGGCGGACGAGGAAACATTTGAGGTCTGCACCAAGTTCTGCTACGGCATGGCTGTCGATCTCAGCTCTCGTAACATCGTGGCGGTTCGATCTGCGGCAAAGTACCTCCAAATCCCATCTCTCCTCCAAAAGCTAGAGGCCTTCATTGATACCTGCATATTGCAATCTTGGAAGGATAGCATCCTCACATTACAGTACGCTGGGAAACTTGGAAACTTGCCGGAGAACCTACAAATTATCAACCGTTGTATCGAATCGATTGTCATAAAGATTGTTACGCCACCTTCCAGGGTAAGGTGGTCATTCACCTACACCCGGGGCTCCAAATCGACGGGAAACTTGCCACCAGACTGGTGGGTGGAGGACATTTCATGTCTAGATCTTCAAATGTACCTTCGAGTTTTGGACGTGGCGAAAGCCAGTAGCATGATCACGCCATCTCTCGTTGGCCAGGCACTCGAAGTTTACGCCACCCGTCGGTTGCCGGATAATGGCATCACGATAGGGATTTCTGATAATCAAGCTGATGAGGTAGTTGTGGAGCAGAGGCAAGTGCTAGAGGCCATTGTGGATCAGATTCCGGCCGGTAATGGGGTGGTTTCCGGGAGGTTTCTAATTAAGCTCGTAAAGTCGGCGAGCTTGCTAGGGGCTTCGATAGTGGTAAAGGTGAGAATTATCAGAAAAGCCGGGTTACAGTTAGATGAGGCCTCTGTTAGTGATCTCCTTATACCAAAAGTTTCTACTGGGAGCCCTACTTTCTATGATATAGATTTGGTGAGAGATTTACTAGAGAATTTTTTGGTGCAATTCCGGCGTGGTCAGTTGCCGGAATCCAGCAGGTTCGCCGACATGGGTCAGATTACAGCAAGGGTGGAGAAGGTTGCAAAGCTTATCGATTCCTATTTGGGACAGGTGGCAAGGGACCCAAACATTTCGGTGTCAAAGATCGTCAGGCTCGCAGAGATGGTACCGGAGAGGTTTCGCCAAGATCATGACGATCTTTACATGGCCATTGATGCTTATCTGAAGGTATGGCCAGAACCTACTGGTTTCCAATATGATCAATACGACTTCTGTGTGTGTGTGTTAGAGAGAGAGAGAGATTCTATGGTTTTGAATATAATCATACGTTTTTTATCGCGAGACTGATCTTTGAAAAGGCCTAGAATTTTTTTTTCTCATTTCTTGTTGATATGACTTAGGATTTTGTTGTGTAAGAGCTCTCTCTCTCTCTCTTTGAAGAGGTTGTTTGTATATATGCACGCCATTAACATATAGATGTAACACTTATCCATGGTCTGTTTTCTTCTTGATTTTACCTATGTTCTCTCTCTCAGGTGGTGTTTTTACATCCTTGCTACTAATAGAGAGAAGCAATACTTCCATGATCTGCATTTCTTCTTGATTTTACCTATGCTGTATCTTTCTCTCTCTCTCTCTCAAAGTGGTTTTTCTATACTTGTGCAACTAACATAGGGATCCACGATCAGTATTTCTTCTTGATTTTACCTGGTGATTGAAAAATCGGCTGAGTAGTTTATAAGAGTTATTTGGGCCGAGTAGTTTACACCGGCCAGAGTTGTCCCGAGTTAGTGTCTAACTAGGGGGATATTAAAAAAATCATACAATATATTAAAATATAAGAAATTTATTTAGGATAAGTGTGTTTTTTTTATGTTTTCTATCATTTTGATAGAGATTGAAAAGTGGTCTGATCATAAATACTTATTTTAATATTTTCTAGCTTTTTTGGGTTATTTTGAAAATACCCTTAGTTACAAATTGATGTATTAAAATTTATTTATTTACTACTTTTTTAACGTCATTTTGAATTATTTTACTTAACCTTACTGTAAACATACATTTCCTTCTTTTTCTTTTTTGGATTTTTAATAATTTTTCTCCTTTTTTTTATGACTACCTATACCACAAATCCGGCCAAGTTACTTGTACTCGGCCTGGGTAAGGCCAAGAACGGTTACTCGGTTTGAATCTTACTTTATAACATTGATTTTACCTATGCTTCATCCATGTAAGAAAATCTCTCTCTCAATAATCTTTATTTTTTAAAATTTTACCAACGCCTCATCTAAAATGACTCTCTCTCTCTCTCTCTAGGACCACCCCAATCTCTCAAAATCGGACCGGAAGCAGCTCTGCGGCATCCTCGATTGCCAGAAGCTCTCCCTGGACGTGTGCATGCATGCTGTCCAAAACGAACGCCTCCCCCTCCGAGTAGTGGTCCAAGTCCTCTTCTCCGACCATGTCAAAAACGCCATTTCCTCCATCCCAGACAAAAGCATAAACCTAAGAAGTGACCTCAGGGCCATGTTGCCTGAAATTCGCAGGAAAACCACTGGAATTTCACCTGAAAAAGCACGAGAAGGGCGGAAAATGAAGACCCACTCGGAGGCCAGGAGAGATGAGGTCAAGGCAAAGGAGAAAGGTGGTTTAGGGAGGAAGATAGAGAGTGTAATTAAGGGAGTTGAAGGGAGAGAAAAGCGCGGAAATGGCAGCAAGGAGGGGTTAAGAGAGAGTGAGAATGAGGAGGGGAGAGAAGAGGTGAGGAGGAGGTTGGGAAAGATGAAGGTTGGGGAGGGGGAGATGGGGAGGGAGGAGAGAGAAGAGGGTGAGAATAGGGGTGGAGGAGAGAGATTTAAGGGGGGAGTGGTGATTAGGACTGCGTCTAAGGGAGGGGTGAACGTTGTTGGTGTGAAGAGAAACATCGTAAAAGAGAGATGATAGAGATATTACTCTCTCTCTCTCTATAAATGTTAGACATGTCTCTCTCTCTTCTCTCTAGAGAGATGATGGAGATGTTGCTCTCTTTTCTCTCTCAAGGGAGATGACAGAGATATTATTCTCTGTATATATGCATATGGGGTGAACTTATGGCTTGAAGAGAAGAATGGAGAGAGAGAGAGACTCCTAACTCGTTGTTCGATATAATCCAAAAGAATGCATAGAAGAATATGAATTAGTACATCTTAGACAAGGGTCTTCTTAGGGTTCAGGTCAAAAGGGTTGGCAATGGGGCGGGTTCTGGTAGGGTCAGCTAGACCCGGACTCGAACCTTAATAGTATTTGGATCCAAGTTTTGGATTTAGACCTTCCAAAATTTAGACTCATACACCTATCTCTACCCATCGGGTCTAGGTCGGGTACATTGCCTTGACTATGAGCTTCTTTTTCTTTTTTTTTTCATTTGTTTTTACCATCATTCATGAATATCCGTATTATTGTCAACATTTATGGAATTGCATAACATTTATGAATATCCACGTATACTCATATTCGTTATTGTGTTACTTAATAACTAGAAACTCCTTAGAAGCAAACGTATTTGCAATATTTATGAATAAGCACATATACGCATATTATTTATGTCGGGTCCGGTGGACTCCAACCCCAATATTATTCTGGTCCAAGTTTTGAACCCGGACTTAACCTTTCGAATCCAATATTTCGACTCATACCTAGACCTGAGGTCAGGTCTACCCATTGAGTCCCAAGTCTGGTCGAGTCGATTGCCACCCCTACAAGGGCAAATATTGAGATTGTTAGATCTTTCATGTATCCAATTGCCTTCATAAAGGGTTTGTTGATTTCAAAATTCTCAATATTTAGTAATGAAATGGTTGGGAGGCCTTCCTCTCCTCTGGTTCACTCAAAGAGAGAGTATAGTAGTAGTAGTAGTTTTGTTGAATTGAGTGTCTAATTGATCCATAAAAACTTGCATCTTATGTCTTGCAGTTTCCTTGGAAAAGCACTCAAAGGGTGAACTCCAGTTAGAGAACACTGTTCATATACTCCCAGGATGACTTAGGATTTTTTAATTTGAAAATATGGGATCGATTTTAAAATTACTAAATGAGGATTTTCAAGAGGGAAAGAAGTAGTTTTTGAGTGTCTAAAATGTAGAATAGATGGTCCAATATTTGGAAAGTCATTTAATTGGAGGGCATTATTTTTTGGGGTTGGTATATTATGAGGCTATTTACTTTTGGCATAAGGAGATCATTTTTATAATTTTAGCCATTAGAGGTGAAATCCAATATTTAAAGTATGTCACAACATTCGAAAAAAAAATTATTTTGGACTTTGTGTCCGATAAATGGTACATCTTCAACAACCCCATTTCACATCCAATGGTCAATAATGATTTTGATATGTTTGTATTAAAAGTAAATGGCCACATTGTGTATATTTCTTTACTCTTTTGAGGCACATTTAAGTGTGCACATGAAATTTCCTTTTGGATGTTGTTAGCGTATGGCCTAGGCTTTATGATCAAAAGTAATTTCGGACCTCAAAACCCGATTGGAAAATGCAACTATGGTGCTGAGATATTCCATGATGGCCTAAGAATCTAGTTGCATCCTTGATTATGAAATTTGGAATTTTAAAAATAATACAGGTCTTATAGATTTGTGAACACTTGAAATAAACAATTCAAAAAATGTGTTAAGAGATACATTATATTTATTGCTTGACAACCATCTTTTTAAAATTCTAATTTCCAAAATTAAAATGACCAATTTGAGGGCCTTCCAGCAAAGGAACTATATATTGTGGTAGTAAGTTTTGAGATGCAGCTTTACTTTTCGCCCATATACTACTATTGCTATGTGCCTCCTTGGTTGAAAAACCCTCTCTAGGAGTAATTATAGGATCCCAAATTGAGAGTTATATCCTCCTCAACCTTGCAGCTAACTTCAAAATAAAATAAAAAAAACTCATCAACATTCTATATGTTCCTAAAAAAATCTTAAATTGGCTAGAAAAAACTTCAACTTAAATTTGAATGGAGACTGTCCAATTTTTAAAGGTCTGACTACTCATCTAGTGATTCTAAATGAATCCCAAAATTTTAGAGAACAAAATAGATGATTCTAAATGAATCCCAAAATTTTAGAGAACAAAATCACAAGTTTGTTTTTGCCCAAGAGAGCAAGCACAGTGCTTTCTGCATGAGCAATGCTATATGCACTTTTTTTTGTTTTTGTTTATAGGTTGGTCAATGGGTTGAGGGCGTTAGATCTCAAATAGTCTCAGCAGGACGTGGCTTGTTCATTTGTAGAAATGAATCCCCTCTTAAAAATTCATTTTCTGAAATTGGACCTAGTTTTATATGGACTCTAACATGGAAATTATGTATATGTAACAGTAAATAAATTGTAAAAATTAAAAATGATAATTTATAAAAAATAATGTAATTTTATTTTGAAGGACCACCTATCTACCTCCACCATTAAGATGAATATTTATGCCTCCGGGGTCGAACAAATGCCGGAACGCATAAAACGCTTTTCCAACTAAAAAACTTGGGCTCATAAAAGTACGCCTAGGTTTTAAATTTTGGGTGAATGGTGATCACACAGGAACATATAATAGTCTTGCAATTTTGTTGCCTATTAAAAATCTGGAAAAAGCTTATATAAGTGCGAGGCTCTAAATAATCAAATTAGGGTGCATATCAAAAATTTCACTAAAAGAGGTTGTTTTGATGCTCAAATATCTTGAAATTGATATGAAAAAAAATGGATTTCAAGTTTTTGACATAATGCATCTTGTAATGCATTGTAGACCACAAATTTTCAAGTTTTTCAAGCTTTCATAGATATATACTCAAATTACCCTATTTTTTAAGTTGTAAATTTTAAATTCAATATAAAAATATATTTTACAGCTATGACAAAAATTTCAGAGTATTGAAACTATATTTCTCGGCACTAATTGAAGCTTTACTTTTGATTGTTTACAGCCTCTTTCACTATACAAACCGCATCTAATGCAAAAGGGTAGTTTAGATATAAGTTTCGCAATTCCTTTCCCAATTTTTCTTTTCAAAATCCAAATTTATTTGGCGCCACAGGTTTTGCGGCTCTTGTTTAAGGAGAAAGATAAAGTAGAAAGGACGATTTCCGGGCAAATATCCCGGCTAAATTACTCTCCGGGAATACAAAAACCACGGGTTTTAAATTTTCCGTTAAATATTCCGGTTGCTATCCTTGCCGGAAAATCCAGGGCCCTTGATTCTTCAGGTTTGAGGAACCCTAGTTTGTTTTGTGAATATTTTTTGGTAAAAGTTTTGTTCTGGTTCTTGAAACGTTCAATAAATAGATGGAGAAAGAATTGAAAGGTTTTTATTCTCCAGATTCAGAATATCTTCAAACCCTAATTTGCTCGGGCTTCATTTTGGCTGGAAATTATTATGATTGTCATTCTTTCATCTGTGCCCTAATTTTGTGTGAGGATTCAGAGATTTACTTTTGCCTCTCTCACTCGAGGTGATCGATTTAGGAACTTCTGAGTTAAATTAAAAACAAGCTGATATACATGGAGACTTTTTACTAAGAATCAAAGACAACCAAGAGATGCTTGATCCTATGGTAGAGCTCATGTTGACTTCAAATTGACTCCATGTATGTGAGACTCATGCTTAATATATTATCTTATAAAAATCTAGAAACGACAAAAAAAATAAAGAAAATTACTTCAATTTCATCCTCCTTTTATTTATTATATTGACAATAGATGTATATTCTGTTCTTTTGGTTATTTTGTGATGCTGTTGATGGACACTATTTTCCCTCTTCTACTGTTTAACTTTGTAGGATATTTTGCATTTAACGATTTCCATTGTGGGTATAGTGCATAAAGATAAACAACAGATGTGATTGATATGAATCAGGCACCTATTATTGTTCAATGCAATGACCTTCTCAATTTGTTAGTGTTGTGATCAGTGTACAGAAAATCGACTTGGCCAAGGTACTCTGCCCTCGGCCTAGCCAAGTAACTTGGGCCGAGTCCGAGTACTATGCCACAAAAAAAGTAAAAAAAATTAAAAGAAAGTGTGAAACATCTCTAAAAAATATGTAGAATTCAGAAAAGTTCAAATGGTTAATATAAGCATTAGGAGACTAAGTAAGATGAACAAAAGTTATAAAATGGACTATTGAAAAAGTGGATTTACACCTTGAATATTTCACAAAAAAATTAAATAAAAGGGAAATATGAAAGTGCCCAAATGATTTTAAAAACTAGCAAAATCTTCTAAAACCATTATGCTTGTGTTTTCTTTTTAAATTTGTTTTTTTTACTTTTCTATACATTTTTTAAGCCTTTATCTGGGCATGGCGAAGCTGAGTTACTCAGCCAAGTCCCAGCACAATGGTTCAGATAATGGAATTTAAATAGCTCCATATAAGAAACAATTAAATGATTGAGGTCGTAGTGGTAGCACCACTTGAGCCTCATCTACCGGTCTAGGTTTCCATTCCCACTAATCTACCCAAAAAAAATAATTTTGAAGCCTTTATATGACTACCACCTGCTATTGAGGTTGCTTGATAGCACCTGCTATCAAGATTGCTTGATAGCTGTGGTAGATTAACTATGTTTTTGGCACCACTCTGCATCTTCTAAGTGGAGCCATTTCATGCAATTTGAGCCTTCAACTATCTCTTGGTTGGTATGGTTGATCTAATTTGTTGTTTTGTTGATTTCTCAATGCAGGCATATCTAAATTTTCATAGACCAACTGTTTGTATTTCTTGAGAAGAAGATGTCTCTTATTGTTAGCCAGTGGAACAATTCAGCAGGTTCTTTGAGAGAATCACCATGTAGAAGAAGTGAGTAATTATTGCTGAAACACTCTAGTTCAAATTCAATTCATGCATACATTGATATACACATTCAAGTTTATTCTTGAAAATAAGCTCTCAAATAAAAAGTATTGATCTGTACTTTTACATGAATATAACTAAAATCAAGGTTAAATTTAATATCCCTCGGCAAGTGCTTTTTGTCCTAAATTCCCTTTAATGGTGCTTTATGGACCCTTGACCAATTAGGTATAATTCATTTCTCACTTTGTCATAGCACAAGCAAACCTATTTTGTCTGCAATATGTCTTTAGATGATAACATGTCCTTCTCTTTTATATGTTATTATAATATTTATGTTTGAGATTCTTTTTTAAGGTTTCGCTGATGTTGCTTTTTTGGATTGCTTAGGTAAGGAATACAAAGCACCCATCACAATGTGTGACAAATATTTTGGTCCTAGAATGCTTGGAAGAAATAGCGCTGAACTGCAAGCAACAAAAACCACAAACAGGTTTCAGCTAGGCACTGCAATGAGTACTTTTACAGGTGCATTGATTGTCTTGTTAGAGGAATTGCATCCCTTATGTTTAAGCACTACAAATGGAACATGGGATTAATTTTACCTAGCTACTTATTAAAAATTGATTTCATGTTGTTGTTGACAGCGAGTATCATTTGTTGTTGAATCATCATTGCTTTGTTTTCTTGCAAATATACATCATACAAACTAATAGGGCATTGTTGGCTTAATTCATGAAGACCAATTCTTCTATTTCTTGTTTCAGTGGCTACTTTGGTTGCAATTGATACTGCAGACGCCGTATCTGGAAACTACGCAATGGTGAGGACTCCTCTTACTTCATCATTTTATGAACCCTCTAATGCTTTGTCAAAGCATGAATTCTTCATCCAAAAGTATCGCATAATCTATAAACCTATTCTGTAGATCCGTTCTGTCTTGATTTATATTCCAAAGCCTGCTGCCAATAGCTGGCCATCTTTAATCTTTGCTATATATCTTTCAAAAGTTCATGACATGGAACTCTTGTGTACATGAGTGCATCGCCTTGCGTGCACATGTGTTTGTTTCATCTTGACACCCTCATGTTAACCCTGCAACCTGTCACTCATTTGAGTTTTATGTATATGTTATGCATGACATGTGAGCATTATATCATGAAGATGCATGCTTTTGTCTTTTGTACATGTTTGATAGAATGAGGATAATTGAATATCCAATTTTACTTTTCTGATATGTTGAGGCCTTTACCTTGTCTTCATTGTTCTGGATTTTTTTAATGGTGTAGGGCACAAATCATGACATATGGTCCACTCTTGTTTTTGCTGATGCTGGCCTCGGAGATTGGTTTGGGAGTCTCTTATATAATGCTGGCCAGCAAGCTAATGAAGCTGTTCAAAGCCAGTTGACAGCACTCAGTTTCACTAGGTTTGATGCTACTTTCTCTGGCCTTGTATTACAAGCACTTGATTTCTTAATTCCTTAATCATTCTGATATCACTCAAATTAGTAAATTGTCGTTGCTTATCTATTGTTTCTGTTTTGCAGTCTAGCTGTTATTTTTGGTGCTGGGCTTGTAACAAGTTTATCCCCTTGTACTCTAAGTGTATTGCCTTTGACACTTGGTTACATAGGTAAACAATGCATGAAAATTTTCTCAACTTTGAAACACATTCTTGTACATCATGTCATCAGTGTCCCGTCAGTTGCTTCATGTTCCAGCAGGCCTGATACATGGTTAATAATCGGAATTTTCCAGGAGCTTTTGGATCTGGCAAAAGCCGTGCACAGGTGACTTTCCTGTTTTATTTGTCACAAGTCTCAATTACAGTTCTTACCCTGAGTTATGTTCTTGGATCTCCAAGTTGTTTTATTGCCAATATAAATGTACTATTGGAAATTCCATTAGATGTGGGGACTTATGGCCTCACTAAGAGTATGACCCTTGATAGAGCAAAATAGCTGATCAGGATTCGTGTAGCCGACTCCAAATAGTTGGGAAAAGGCTCTAATGACGATGATTGGAAATTCTATTAGATGTCAATTAGAACATTGTAATCGATTTGTTAATCTTTCTTTAAGCAATTTTGTCATGTAACTTTTTCGCAGATAATTGGCGATTCACTGGCCTTTGCACTAGGGCTGGCTACAACACTGGCAATATTGGGTATTGCTGCGTCCCTTGCTGGGAAAGCTTATGGACAGATTGGCCAGGGACTTCCATTGGCTGCTTCTGGATTGGCTATTATAATGGGTTTAAATCTTTTAGAGGTTAGTACATATCACAATTATTACATGATTATGACCTAATGCCTCATGTGACTGAGACATGCATTTTTGTTATCCGGTATTACTTGGGAAGTTGGTATAATGGATTTTAAAATTTAGTTTCTTCTAGAAGAACTCTTTCACAATATTCACAAAATGTTTGATCGGAAGCAACAGAATAACATAGAGGTCAGCATATGAAAATACACAAACTAAGATAGGAAATTTTGATTTTGTAAGTTTTGATGAGGGATGAGAACTTCCTTTTCATAATTATTACCGAATTTCTGGCACTTTCTGGTTTGCAAAATATCTTAGAAAGAGAGAAACAATTAGTCAATAAGAATAGCCAATTTTCTTATCCAAATTTTAGCAATAGGCCCTCACTTCAGGCATTTTAAAAAATACTTATGTTGAAGCTGGTTTTTCTTCCACAAATTTTCCATAGTTGGGCAAAACTCACACCAAACTTCATCCACTGAAAGCAGTTGAACATATCATATATGACCCATGATTCTGTGTTGGATAAAGGCTTTCACCTAATATCATTTGATATTCAACAAATATCTTGTAATATGCCAATTATAATTCTATACATTGTTATTCATGTTGTCAACCTCCCATTTTGGAGTTATATTACAACCCATCTCTTGGAACTGTGATCAGTGCAAAGCATAGGCTTTTGCCACCACAAATCACCTGGGAAATGCATGTTTTTTGGAGTTCTATCCTCTCCCAGGAGGTTCCTTGAACTATATTAAATTACATCGTATGCTACATGGACAGATTCTTGTGTGTAAGTTCCCAAGAGGGGTATGCGGCATTGGGTTCCCCATTCTGCCAACAAGAAGGTTTGGTGACATGGCTAACAAATCCAATATTTGTACTAGTCTTCCATTTCATGACGAGTGGCCGACATCTCATTTATGCCTTGGTTTAATTCAAACATTTTTCCAAAGTTTAAATCTCTCTACTCAAAGCAAAAAGATCAAAGTTTAGAGTTTAAACCAATGATGTGGTCAATGGTCAATGGTCAGAAAACAAGAAGAACGATCCAAAAGAATCTGTCTAGGATGGTTTCGATATGTGTCCAACATGGAAGGAGTTCCCAAACAAAAGAATCCATGCAGCATAGATTATATCCCATAAAAAAAAATGGCTACTTCCAAACCTGAAGTGCTCATTGCATTTCCAGGCATTTCTCTATAGTTTCTTTACAAATTTAAACCATTTGAAACTTCACACTGTACGATTCTCTTGGTGAAATTGTAGATTTTCTGAAGCATACATTGTCAGATCCAAGGGACATTTCTATTAGTCATATTTGAATATCAATTGGTGGTTCCACTGCAAAAGCATGGAAATTTCTCTGTAATTTCTAAATATACTTAACGCTACTAATATGTAATGATTGTAATTGGTTTGATCAATGTCCTTGTCATACTCATCCCTATGTTACTCTTATTATACACTGTTGAAACATTTTCAAGTGAACGTTTTTTGTTTCTTTTCAGGTATTTTTAATCACATGGAACCCGTGTAGATCTGGTCTTCTGCATTGTAAAATTTCCAGAGATGTACATTCACTGAATGTTTGAAGCAACAGAACTTATGTTTAGGAAGTTGTAGGATAAAAGTGGAATAACTTAATTTTCAAAGGGTGCGGTTTGTATAGAGCCGAAACTCTAAACAATCAAAGTAAAGTGCACCTTCAAATAGTGTCGAGAAATGTGGTTTCAATATTGGAAATCTTTATGATAGCTTTGGAATATATTTTCATCTCTAACTATAAAAATTAAAGCTTCAAAAATATTGTAGATCGAGCAGATTTATGAAAATTTGAAAATCTGGAAAATTGACAGTCCAAAAATACATCACAAGATGCACTATTTCCAAAACTTGTAATCCTTTTTTTTCTCATGTCCATCCATCTTGAGGTCGAGATGATCAATTTGAGGATATTTGGGCATCAAACAACCTCTTCTAGTGAAATTTTTTAGGTGCACTCAAATTTGATTGTTTAGAGCATCACACTTATATAAACTTTTTCCATTTTCAAATGACTTTCTAATTAATAATAAATATTTTTTCATACACGTGTATTGATTGCCATGGGTTTTGTGGCCTTTTGAGACTTTACTTTTATATTTGTCATTTTTCTTTTTCCAAACATGGTCATGGTTTTAGAAGAACAGTTTTCTGAAATACAAATCATACTTGACTTTCAAATATGTTCTATAGTGGTAGAAGCATTATGACATCTATCATTTGGAAGCAATTCTTTCTCAAGTTGTGATACTATGATTGTTTACCAAGTTGCAACATTGCCAAGCCGGGACTGATTTGTTCCAATCTGTCAAAAGGCTATTGGTGATCAAACCGATGAAACTATATTTTCATTAACCGTGCAAATAACAAATCCGTTGAATACAGAGTTTACATACACATAAAAGATATAATACTTTACACAAATACAAAAGTATACAATATGCATACATTACAAAAGTAGAAGGCACAGTTACCAAAGTGGTATTGGTCAAACTGGACATAAGCATTGATGATCTATTGTCAATTTGTGTCTTTGCAAACTGACAGTTATCAACTCAATTATAATGGGAAAAGATTATGGAGAAAGAACTTCCTGAAATTGACTACTATAAGATATCCGATATCCAATGGCAAAACACTTCACTGGAGACTGATGCATCACTCTTGTCAAACTTTATTACACTTAAATGAACACGACTTTAGGTGTTGGTTCGTCTAATTATTTCAGGTTTATATGTGTTGGATGTTGTCTTTAGCTTTCTATGGTGATATCACACTGTTGTATAAGGTTATTTGTATCCAGATTGCAATGGTTGTACCGTATAGATTTCCATAATGATTTGGGGTCATAGCCAAATCTTCTACCACTCATTGTTGGCTTTAAGTTTTATATTCTATATGGTCATGCAGCTTCATGGCAAGCATAAACTTTATTTTGATATTCTTGCTATTCAATAATATTCTTCTTCTCATGTTCCTCAAGCAAGAAATTATTCTCTCTGTCCCTGTTTTCTTCTCTCGAACCTTTTTGATACCCTTTGCCTGGGTAGCTTATTCATGTCTTTTATGATGCAGATTGTTGAGCTCCAGCTACCTTCTTTTTTCAATGATTTTGATGCACGAGCTGTGGCTGCCAATTTTCCATCAAGTACTTCTTAAAACTATGATCTTTGTCATGTGTTTTGGGCACCAGCTATGTTAGTAAAGTGGTCTCTCTTGAAATGCTCTCTTTATAATATTTGATGTTGCTCAGTCATACATCTGTTGTCAGTTTGTCAATATTGTATCATCTTGAATAAAATTATGCAGATATGGTGTTTCAGGTGTGCAAGCTTATTTGGCTGGACTCACATTTGCCTTAGCGGCTTCACCTTGCAGTACACCCGTTCTTGCAACTTTGCTTGGATATGTGGCAGCCTCAAAGGTTCAATTAAATTTTAGCAGCCATAAACTAAATAAACAGATTTTTTCTGTCATTTATTTTTTTCTTTCTGACATATATCAGTACTCATGTTTTTCCATGCATTTTTTGTTACCTTTACGCACTAATATTTGGATTAGTTTTTTCATTATTTTTCTCTCAATATTGAAGAGTTTCTCAAATGTATCTTGTCATTCTGAACTGCAGTGTTTATTTAATGGGTGTGGTTTCTATAAGGTTGCAACCTTAAACAATCCAATTAAGGCGCACCTCCAAATTTATCATAAAATGTAATTTTGGTGTAAAAAATCTTAGGATTATCTGTAAATCTATTTTTATATCTAATTATAACTTTAAACTCTAAAAATGGTTATAAAATCAAGTAGATCTATAAACATATGAAAATCTTGAAAATGGACAGTCTACATAATTTGTTGCAAGATACACTATTTCTAGGACTCGTAATCTTTTTTTTTCCATATTCATACATCTCGATGTCAAGATGATCAATTAAAGGGTTTTCCAACATTAAAACAACCTTTTCCGATGGATTTTTGAGTTCGATCTTTAATTCTACATTTTAAGGTTGCAACCTTATATAAAATTTACCCTTATTTAATTAACTAAAAATTTATATAACCTTATATAAAAGTTATTTTTTTGTGCCACACCTAAATTCTCTCAAATGTATTTTTGTGCCACACCTAAATTCTCCCTAATGTATTCAATTTGAATTTTATCCCTTCATTTGTTGCCACTCATCCATCCCAACATCCTCATCTCAGCTGCACTCATTCTATGAATATGTTGTTTTTTGATCACCCAACATTCCCCCCCATAAAATAAAGTTAGTCTCACAAATGTCCTATCAAATTTGCCCTTCAGCTTTATTGGTATGCGGCGATAACATAAAACTCTAGTTGCACGTCTCAACTTTGCCTACCTAGCTCTAATTCTCTGTGCGACATCTTCCTCAATCTCTCCATTTTTTTGGATTATCAACCCAAGATATCGAAAGTGCCCTCATTTTGATATTTCTTGGCTGTCAATCTTAACTATTTCTTTGTCTCTACTCCTATATTTAAAAAAAAAAAAAAAAAGTTTTGTTAGGGCTGCAGCCCTATCAAAATAAGTTAAGCCCCACCTTAAAAATCATCAAAAATTGTAGTTCTTGCTTCAGAAAACCTTCAAATTGATCATCTCAGCCTTGACAGTTATGGTTGTGGAAAAAGAATAGGATTTTAAGCACTAAAAATAATATGCATTGTAACACATTATCTAGATCACTCATTTCGCCCTAAAAATAAGTGTTCATAAATTGGCAAGATCTGGAGCATTTTTTAGCTTCAAATTTTATGATCGGTATTGGAAAGTGATTTTAGAGCCATCATGAAGATTTCGGAGGCCCAAAGTGCTTTTTGGATGAGCATTTAAGGCGAGGCTTTATTTTATTTTCATAAAGCCTGGGCCTTATAGAAACATCATCTAAAAATATATAAAAAATATAAAAATAACGTTTATATTTTTTAATAAATGAATGTATGAATATGATTATCTATAATTTTGATTTTTGATGATTCTTTGTGAGCCTTTCTTATCATATTCCCTGTTTTTCTATTTTTCCCTTTTTTGTATTTTTCTGGATTGTTTCAACTGCAAATCATTTTTTTCCAAATTCCATATTTTATATATTTTTTTTTTCCATCTTTTTTAGACTTTTAATGCTGTTTATGGTTTAGGTTGCTCTTTACTTCTTTTTCTAAACAAAAAATTTGCAACCTCATTTCCAATTTTTAGCCCTTTTTGGGCATGTACATGGTTCAGGCAAGTCCACTCAGACTCGCCCGAGTTACTCAACTCAGGCAGGGATCAAGTCCAGAGTCTGATCTGCATTTTTTTCATACTGTTTTCCATTGATCATGGATTATCTGTAATGTATCGATGTGAACAGTGATGACTTACATCTGAAAGCTTTCAAAAACAGGATCCAGTAATAGGGGGTAGCCTGCTTTTGACATATACAACCGGCTATGTGGCTCCACTTCTACTTGCTGCCTCTTTTGCCAGTGCTTTACAGGTATTTGGGTCCCCTTCTTGTGTATTTCATTTATCTTACCTCATCTTTATTGTATTATCCATTGCTTGGATAGCATCTACTTTTAGACCATAAAATTTTCAGAAAAGGAATGGACTTATTTGAAACTAAAAATTCCAAGTGTTGTTTTCCGAATTCATACATGCACTTCGATTAGCCTATTGGCGTGGTTCATTGCGATTACATGTCAATGATTGATGTCCTTATATGCAGAGCCTACTTTCCTTTCGCAAGTTCTCATCATGGATCAACCCAGTGAGGTATTTTCCTTTGAACCAATATATGTAACCATAAGTGCATAATATGGTGGAGGAAAAGCGGCGTACAATATGGAAAACCAAACAAGGAATCTGGAAGCAGTTTTCTTTTCACCTGGCAGATAGCAATATCACTTAAGTCACCTGGCAGATACCAATATCACTTGAGAGAACAGAACCTGTCTATGACAAAGGCCAATAATTTAGTTTTGCAGTAACCAGAGACCGGCCTTCGTTGGTTCAGGGCTTGCTTGTCGAAAACATCTCTGGTCCATGAAGGCTTGTTTGTCAAAATATTTAGTATTTGGTCATTAGTGCGTAGGTAATGGATATTCAAAATCTAATGATAATACAGGCATTGATCAGGTGTGTGTCAGCCTATTGTAGTATAGGGTAATACCACCATGCCTGACGTCAGATCAATGGGCAGGATGATATACACCGTCCAGCATGATGAACTGAGTAAAGGCTTCACAAGGTGGACGATGGAAATTACCCTGCCTACCAATCCCATGGTGGGCTGGATGTTACTCCACTATGTATATTAGCCCTCGTCTTCATGCTATTTTAGCAAGTCCACTTCTTTCTGCCATCCCCCATAAATTTGTTTATATAAATGTCAGTTTAGAGGGGAAGCTTAAGTGATTTAACGCTAGATTTAAATTCTCATTTCAAGACTTACTGTAGTCCTATATGAATCTAGTGAGCTATTGACGGCAATTTTCTTTCGCATGCAAATTAGTTTATTATTTTCATTGAACCAAAAGACCATCTCTACTAGAATTGTTATTCTCTTTCTGCATTTGGAATCTTTGGATGGTTTTGCAGTGGGGCACTCCTACTAGGTGGTGGAATATACACTATGCTGGATAAGTTGTTTCCGGCATCAACAGTAATGTCTTAGACCTTCAAAACTAGAATGACATATATTAAGGGAAGCTCGACCTTTTTGTACTCGACAAAGAGCACAATGTAAGGTGTATAGAATTAATATTTATATCTGTAGAATGATTAGTCATTCATCTTTACTTGTGTTAGCCATATGCTAGATGTATAAATTTGACATAAGGCATGCGCATATACACGTCATGGCTATGTGGATTTAGTTTGTGTACCAAGTGATTAAATAATAGTTTCAGCTTAAACGTTGTACTGGAAATTCTTATGAAGATCCTTAATTTTTTAGAAAAGTAAAAACAAAGAAGTGAAAATCATGTTTAATCCCATGCTTCTAAAGAACTATTACAAGATTCGCGGACTTACAGGCCTTCGATATTACTAATTTCTTTGCCCTTTGGATTATGTATTGAATTTTGGAAGTGTACTGTAGCCCAATTTGTTATGGGAAAATATAGTCCAGTGGGATCATCAGCATCCAGTGTATGTAGGATGATGATGGAGAGTAGGAGTTACAAGAGCAGGACATGACCTTAAATGCTGGGTCCCATTCTCTCTTGATCCCAGGTCATTTTATTGAATGGCGATGGACCCCATAGATTATGTTTTTGCATGGTCCTTTGGACAATAGTATACTTGGCTACTTGCCCTTGAATTTTTTTTCTTTGGCTCTATTTTTGTTATACTCCTCTTGGGACTAGTTTTGCATTTAGCACCCAATATTCAATTGGTTTAAGTTTGCTTGTGGGCGATTAAGCCGGTTCGGTCTTTTCTCTTTCTTTCCCACCAATAATTCCTCAATTAATCTTTGCATCACCTTTCATAGGGTTTTCATCCTATGATAGCTTAATTTTGGATTATTTTACCCAGCCCGATAGGTTCTAGGTTTGACCCGTGTATATATATATGAAGTTACAATCTTGGACTACAAAAGTAAGGTGCACCTCACCTCAAAAATCTAATAGAGTATATCAAAGCTGAAAAACTTTTCAATTGATCGTCTTAAAATCAAGATGTCTCAATGTAAAGAAAAAAAATATCTAATCCTCAAAATAGTGTCTTGTACCAAGTTATTTGTACCTTTTATTTTCAAGTTTTTCAAATGTTTATAGATTTAATCATTTTGCATTGTTTTTAAAATTGTTTATAGATTTAATCATTCTGCATTGTTTCTAAAATTTTAAATTTCATATTTAGGGATATGGATTTTCGAATCATGGTAGGATTTCCAACGATGGAAATCTTGAGGTAAAATATAAACATGCACCTTAGGGACTAGGTATATCGGATGTAAACCTAACCAGGTCCATTCCTTGAGTCTAGAGCCGTACCCAAGTCCATTCTTTTAGTTCAGACCTGTACCCAAATCAAGGTCGACCTGACTTGTTTTGTACCATGCTCATGACGCATACATAGAGTGTCAGTTATGCACACACCTAGAACTAGCTAAAAATGGAACCATGATAACGTGCCCCCATCTTCGACCATGTGGTTGGGAATTTGCCACTAAAATCTGATGTATTACAATGTTTGTCTTCTTCTTATAGAAGAATAATGTTGGAAAATGGAATCTCGGCCATATCATTCAACAGAAGAAAACAAGAAGGATGCAAAACCAGTGAAAAAATGCCTGAAAATTTCTTGCCATAAACATGTATACCCTGTGCATTCCATGTCCACAAGACTGTATATACATAGCACCCACTCAAACACACAACTGCACAAAACACTCTCAAAGAGGCAATAGTCTATACACTAACAAAAATACCTCTCCCATTCCTCATGTCTCTCTCTCTTCCATATTTTGTACAAAACACAAACCTCATATTTTCCTCTCAAAACCAAGCCCTTCCAGTGTCTCCATGGCCCAGATAGTACCTACACAACGGGCATGTACTGTGCCAGTAGTCAAGCCACTTGTCCAAGCATGCCTTGTGAAAGACATGGCCACAAGCCAATTGGCTGACCCTTGCATTTGGCTCGAACGGAGACAAACAGACGGGGCACTCGTTTTCCTGCGAATCCCGTCTTACTGTAAAATATGGCATTGCAGGAATCCTGTGTCTGAAAAGCTCTGACTGTGGAGGAGGAAAGGGGTCAACATCCGGTAAGTCGCTGGACTCCGGTGAATGGGCTGGCCGGAGTCCAACGACATGGAGGACTGAGCGAAGGATCTCCTTGATTAGAGTTATGGATAAGACTGCATTCACTACGAGGATGGAGAGGACCCCTTCTGAAGGTGCAGGAAGACTTGAGAGCCCCATTAGAGATCTGTGACATAGGAGAAAACAATCTCAATTATTCCTTTAACATTATATACATGAGAGAGATAGAGTCTCTAGAATCAGCTCCATTCGCTATTTGTGGAAATCTAAGTTTACTCGGTTCGAGTCCGAGTAACTCGGACAGGTTAGTACTAATGCTGAGTACTATAATAGCAAAAAAAAAGGTCAAAAAATTATTAAAAAATATAAAAAATCCAAAACAAAAAAAGAAAATGTATGTTTAAGGTAAGATTAAGCGAAACACTTCAAAATTATGTTAAAAAGTACATAAAAACATGCACTTCTGGCTGGGGTATTTTCGAAATAAACCAAAAAAAAATATGGAAAAGTATTTATGACCAAGACACTCACTAATTAAATAATAGATAACACAAAAAACATATCCAAATAAATTCTTTATTTTTTAGGATTTTTGAATTTGTTCAATATCACCAGTTAAACACCCAACACGGGAGAACTTGGACTCAGCAAGGGCCCAAACCCGAGTAAGTCAACTGAATAGGAACTACTCGGCCGATTTTACAAACATTGGAGAGAACCCTTGAAGCTCAAAAAGCACACGACTAAAAATTTGTCCACCAGATAAGCTAAGTCTATGCATCTTTGTTTTGTTTGGGGCATAGTCTGTCATTTATTTGGAGGAAGAATGGTTATGCTAATTCGTGTTAGGTGATATCATGATATGAACGATTAATGCATATTGATGTAACTAATGGCCCATAAAATGTGGAATCTCACTCTGTAAATAAATAGGAATATGTCTATTAAAAGGTTTATCCCTATATCTCAAACTCTAATAAAAAACTCGAGTGCTTGTACAATCGTACACTATATTTGGCTTTTTGACAAGAAACCCCCAATACTTGTCGCCACCATGTCAATTTTCAAAGTTGGCGAGTCTTTAATGCTAAAAGCTATAATACCCATATAAATTATTTTCAACATCACATCTTATGTTCAAATATGTTGACATTTGGATCTATGTCGATATTTTTTATATTGCATCATGTGTCAATATGCTATGCTTAAACGTATTGACACTTTTTAAGTACCATGTTTACATGGGAGTGCAAGCTTGCCATTTGAACCCTAGATGTTTTGTGCCGATGGGAGTCTAGTTTTTTATCGGACCGACTTTTTTATTGTAATAAATATGTATGATTTGCTATAAATAAGCTAATGAACTATTATTTACTCGTAAATAATGATTGCACGGATGGAACTTAACATACTGGGTTTTAGGCCAAAATTATTAAACACTTTGGACGCTATACTCCATTCGATATCACTAACCAAGGTTTTAAAAAACCGGTCGATGAACCAGATCGCCCATTTGGAAAATCGGTCCGCAGAAAACCAATCCAATCAGCAATCTTATCTCAGTTGAGTTAGCAGGACATAAAAATTATAAATAAAAAAAATTAAGAAACAAAATAAATTTAAAAAATATTAAAAACAAAAAAGGGGATAGGTCCTAGCCGGTCATCCACGGAATCAGTTGCTTATGTCAAAGAACCAGGCCGAACCGGTCAGGCCTTAGTGAGCCCTGACCAGCAAAACCAGGCGGGCTTGGTCTAGTTCCCCTTTTTTAAAACATTGACATAGACGATAAGAAGTTTTTGGATGAGTTGATTTTAAATAATAGCTAGGATGTTACTAATGCAGTGTTTTAGAATAGCAAGCACGCAAAGGGGCAATCCAACAAAAAGGTGGGGCAGTCAAATAATAAGGAAAGTGCCCTACTCCTAGGTAATTTCAAGTTTATTTATGATACACCAAAGTGATTTGGTATTAGAGGGTGGGGCCCATAAAAATCCTTAAGTTTAAGGTCATAATAGGAGTGTACTAACTTTATAAGATTCTCTTGACTTTAACCCTTTCTTAGTGCTACATTAAACGATGAAAACTAGCATTTTTTATTAATCACAATGAGAAATAGAGATATTTTCCTAATTAATTAAAATTTTACATGAAAATTAGGAGGCAAACATACCTGTAGATTGTTCCAAAGTCTAGGATGAAACGATCTCTTTGGAATTCGATCAAGCTTTCTTTCTCTGATTAAAAGAAAGAAATGAAGGAAATTAGAATAATTAAATAACCAATAAAAAAAGGTGAAATATCTAAAATTGTATGGGATAATGACCAAAATGCCCTCTGATTTTGGGAATTTTGAAGGTAACATAAATTATTTCAAACAATTTCAATCACAATTTAGTTAAAGTCATAATTAAAAAAAAAAAAAGTAAAATACCTAATGGGACAACGATCAAATTGCCCTATGATTTTGGGAGTTTTGAAGGTAACATAAATTATTTCAAAAAAAAATCAATCACAATTTAGATAAGGCCGTGAAGTTAAGATGGGTTTTTATAAATAAAATATAATATAATTAAATTATCAAATATTTAAAAATCAGATTAGTGATAGCCTGTTCTAAGGAGAAGAGGCCGATTCTTGATATGGTTACGAAAACAGCTCAGTAAAACAAAAAAATTGGAGGACGAATCAATAATTTCAAATTGTGTATTGGGGGCAGAGAGTATTCAATTAAAGGTTGGGGTATTTTAAGGAATAGTAGCAACACAAGCATAAACAAATATTAGAGTGCAAGTATATCTGTAAAAATAAAATAAAAAGCAGAGGAAAATTTTGAGACAAGAATTAATTATGAATTAAAAAACTGTGAACACTTAATAAATCAAAAAACATCAAAACAGAAATTTATGGTCAAATCTCTTTTAGGTAGACAATAGAGAAATCCGGTATTTCAAAAAAGGAGTAAATTGGATAAAAGGTTTAAAAATAGAAAAAATAAATGAATCAATTTAAAAAACTGGCTTCAATTAGAGAAAAAATAATAGAAAAAACAAAAATATATACAAATCATACAGGAAAACGTCTTTCATATTTTTTTTAACTGTAAAAAATGATATAGAGTTTTTTCCAAAGTATGAGAAAATATCAAAGTTATGGATTTGACGAATTTGCATAGCAAGATTTGGAGTGTATGTTTAACATTAAAAAAATTAATTTAAATTAACATTTAAACGAAAACTTTGCTTTGGATTATGGAAAAGTAGGAAGAGGAAAGTTGAAGAGATGGCGATAGAAAGTAAAAATGGGAGAAAATCAAAAGGAATGCATGTGTTACAGAGAAATTAAAACACATCTGATCACCACGGGTCATACAAACTACTGATATAGACAGAGAGAAGTTATTACTGATTTAGAGAGAGAGAAAAAAAATAATACACGAGTTACCTAGAGAGAGACAAATCAGAGATGTTAAATTAAAGACCTACTTATGGAAAGAGATTGAAGAAAAGCTCTGCATTTTAGAGTAACATAAAGCAAAAGGCCTGCATTTGAGAGCAAGAGAAGGAGATGAAATAGAAAAAATTATGAATGCGCTTGCATTCAAGAACACAGAAAGCACGAATTAGCTCTCTATCTCTCTATACAGAGAGATCAAGAGAGAGAATCTGAGAACAAAGAAGCCTTCTTAGAGAGAGAAAGAGTGAGAAGTTTAAAGGTCGAGGCATCCATTAGAGAGAGAAAAATTGGAGAAACAAGAAGAAAACAGACCTGCTCACAAGCACAGAGTGATGAGAGAGAAAAAATGGAGAAACAGAGAGAAACTTAGAGCGAGAGAGAGCAGGAGAAATCAAAAGCCACATGCCGTTTTAGAGGGAGAAATACCTTAGTAACACTGAAGTAACCAACGGTGTGTATCAGTGAAAATGAAAGAGATTCATCGATTGAGTGAAATCTCACGGACTGGATTAGACTTCTGACGGCTTTTCCACTGCTCTTCTCCCTCAATTTATATAGAGAACCCATGGTTAAAACTTAACCGCAGTGGGCTAACCTGGGTTTGGTTTTGACGTTTCTTACAAGGCAGTTCCATCTTTTTTTTCCCACCTCTGTCTCTCTCTCTACGCCACTTCTTTCTCTCTCTACATGTGCACACGTGAGTGCGAACGGAGCACTAAAAGATTAGATTCATGCACCTACCTCTCCCACGCTCATATTCACTTTCACATGTGTGGGATGAAGGCCCCATTGAGTTGAATGTAAGTTTTAAAAATGGACGATCTGGATTGGATTTAGTATTTAATTAGACCAATTCATTTTAAGAATCGAAAATTATTTTACATAAGTGTAATTAATCATATGGGTAATTAATCAATATGTACTGAATTTTTCATAATTTAACATTTTACTCTTTTTCAACCGTTCTAACGTGGCGATGTATGTTTTCATGGTATTTTGAACTAAAACATGTAAGTAAAATGTTCAATTGTTAATCTCTTATGTTTATTTTGATAAATTTCCTTTTAAATTATCAACCGTACATATTATAGTTGTGCAAAAATAATCTATACAAATTCCTTTGTTTTAAATTTTTGTTTTATTATTTGTAGTTCGATCTCTGATTTGGCTGATTCGAATCGGAGGGCTGATCAAAGTTTTGAAACCCTAGATGAATGGATCCAAATGAGCATCCACTTGCAAGCTCTTCTCTCACTAGGTCTTGAGAATTTGATCTACCGGAAATGTTAGAATAAAAAGACCATGTTTTTTCTTTTTTTGTGTAATTAGACTATTTAGGGATTGTGTAAAAATATCATAATGACCTTTAACCATCAATAGGTTGGGATGTCACAGAGTTTGAAAAAATGGTCCTTTGAGCATTGCCCTGACGTACCTCTAAACACCCATTTCAACGGAAACTTCGTATTTCTATATTTCAATATCTTCAATATAATAATCTATAGAGTAGAAGTCTTATTTTTTCTCTACAGCATCAACGATTTGAGATCGTAGTGGGGTGCCGATTTAGAATATGAACCGTCCATCTATAGCTCGTAGTCCACATCTTTTATGAATATAAAAACCTTTTTTCATTAACGAGGTCATAAATAGCTAATAAATATTTTCAAAAAAATATATAAAAGAATAATTTATTTTTGACAAAAAAGAAATTCACAACCACTTTTCACTGGACTCAAAGTTGAAAAAGAAATTTATTGAATTGCCTCACAAACTTCAAATTATCCAATTTGACATCGAGTGATTAGAAGTAATTGTGACCTCTTTGTAACAAAGATGAATGATCTCTGTAAATATACAATCTTATATTTTTATGTTTTCTATTTTTAATAATAATTAAGACAATTATTTTAATAGGACTGCAGTAAAACCTCACATCCAAACTCCTAGAAAATTGCAGTTTGTTGGAAAACCTTCGAATTGATCATCTCAACCTTGACCATTACGGTTAAAAACAAATTTTAGATTTCAAGCTTTAAATATAGTTTTTATTATAACATATTATCTAGACCGTTTATTTTTCAATAGTTCATAGATCTACAAGACCTTTATCATTTCTCAAGCTACAAATTTCATAATCGTTTGTGGGAGCCATCATGGAGATTTTTCATGTTCAAAGTATTTTGGGAACAAGATTTCGTTGTGAGGCTTCACTTCTTTTTCATAAGGCCCAGTCTTTATAAAAACTGCATCCTTGATTAATTATGTACATTACTTCTTCTTTTTTCACCCAATTATCTACAATACTCATAATTGAAAATTATTCATGGCAAAGATCGTGTAGCCTAACAAAAAAACAAGCAATAATATTATTTCTTTTTTTGAACAAAAAAACATATTAACAATTAGAATAGAGGGTAGGACGTTATGTAGAGGCATTAGCGCCATTAAACATCAATTCCCAGCTCCATTCCCATGTCTCTCTCTTTTCTACTTCAAAACATGAGTAATAAGAGGCCGTCTGGGTTCATGAAAAGTGAACAAAACAGCCATCAAACATGTAAACTCAAACTCATAATCCATAGGTGTAAGGGGGTTCAGCAACCAGTATCCCTGGCATACTGACCGGCCTATCACTGTAAAGTTTTTTTTAATTCAAAAGATATTTTAAAAATTAAAAATAATGAAATTACATAAAGTAAGATCTACACAAAATCGATAGGAGGCAAAATCTCTCTCTGTGCAGTGTAAGTCAAAGGAAAGAGAGTGGGTAAAAGTCACAAACACAACGAAAACGTGTAAATCGTTCTAACGAAACTCTCTCTCTATCTCTAAATTTATTCACAGGAAACTCTCTCTCTCTAAATTTATTCACAGGAAACTCTCTCTCTCTCTAAATTTATTCACAGGAAACTCTCTCTCTCTCTCTCTCTCTACTAATTACTACCGACGTAACTCTCTCTCTCTCTACTACTTACTTACTACGACGTACTCTCTCTCTCTACGTACGTCGTCGTCGTACGTACTACGTACTTACGTTAACGTTAGTGTAGTAGGT